TATATAGTTATCTCCTGGTGTTGTGTTTTGTTTCTCTTCCAGAGTGAAAGAATTGAAAAAGGCCAAGGAACTTGAAGACATACAGCAGCATCCCTTAGCAATGTGACATTGCTTTTCAGACTGTTTTCATTTCTGTTTTTAGCAGAGACATGCAACAACAACACACACGCGCGTGCACACACACACACACACACACACACACACAATCCCTCTGCAGTTTTGGGGAGATCAGCTGCAGGATTTTAACAGGAATGTTTTGGTCATTGCATTTGCACTTTCATGGACAACTTTTAATTTGATCAGCAAGACATCTTGGAACTCAATCTTCTGTTGGATCATGGGAAAACAAGACACCAGGAGGAATTGAAAGAGGCTTCTTCTTAGGAAGAAGTCATTTCCTTCTCATATAGGGCTGTATTCAAACATCGTGTGGAACTGTACAAATATTTATACCAAAAATATAGATAAGAAAAGGTGGGGATATACTAGCAACAAAAAAGAATGCTGTGCCTGCACCTGTCAGTTATTTCCAAGAAGCTGAATCTTTGGGATTGATTCTCAGTGGAGGGCTTAGATCATACAAATCTTTATTGGGTCCGTGTGTTCTCATTTCCTTCACTGTTTATTTTTGTTTGTTTGTTTGTTTTACTCTCTACAGCACACTTAATGCAACTTTTAAAATCTGCAGGTTTTTAATGTCTTGTGGAAATTTGCAGAGGGGCGGGTGTGTGGTAAACGGGTAATGCATGGGAAATAATGAGAAACAGCTAACAGAGTTTAAATTTATTTTCTTGTCCCCACCACCTCCCAAGAACCTGTGAGGATAGTAATCATCTTGTCCCCTTTTTCATGTTCAGCACTTTAATTTTTTTGCCTTACTTTCACGTGCAATGAGAATTACTTACAAATTGGTAAAGCATGTAGCCTTTTTTAGTAACCTTGGAAACTGTAGTAATTCTAAGGAATCATAAACCTTGCCTGGACATTTGCCACCTAAATGATCAGTGTGGTGCTGCGTTCTGGCCAGTAAATTCCATGTTTTTGGCTATATCTCATCTAAACAGAGCAGTTTTTGTGTATATATAGAAGGTAGAAATGAAAAGTGAGAAAATATTTGAAAGGGATTATATTAATTGCTAAATATTTTATTCACAAAGGTCACTAACATGGCAAGATAAAATTATTTGTATAGTTTTGTCTGAATGAGCGAGAAAAATGTGGATGTACTGTTTGTATATATTGTATATATTAAAACAAAGAGATATGTGCATGAATTCAAGAAGAAATGAACAAAAGCAAAGCATTAGTGGCTATGGTCTGTAAAATGAAACAAAAAAAAAACTTTATTTCACTATAAGAGTACTTTATTTTAAATGTTCTTTAGAAGAACATTTTGCTAAAGCATGACTAAACTGCAAAAAAAAAGAGCTACTGTATTTAGACTTAGGAAAAAAGGCAGAGTAACATTACTTAAAAAAAAAAAAAGGATATGTTTACATTTAATTTTGGCTACCAGGAGTTTAGTTTATTTTATTTAAAATTTTTTTGCCAATGGTGCCAAGTAATGTGAATGCTAATATTGCTTAAGAAAATTAAGTTACTTTTGCAAAACAGATAATCATAAGATGAATCGGTATGTAGCTTAACACCATCCACTCACTCCAACAAAGAACACTTACTTAGAATGATCAAAACCTGACAAAAGAAATAGTATGAAAAGTAGAAAAATGTCACGTTTCCATATATCCTGCTGGAAATCAGAAAATGTAATAAAAATTGCACAAAAAATAACTAAAAATGAAAACGAGTCAGACTGGTCTTGTAGGGATGTCTAGGTGTATTACTATTTCCACATAATGAGGAGCCAAAGAAATCTGATGTTTTAAAAAATTAAACTACTAATGTTAAATTGAGAGAATAAAGTTTGCATTTGCTGATGCCAGTTTAAAACTCCCAGGTTAAGTTTGAGGATCAGTTGGTGTGAAGCTGAGATTTTTTTCTTGGTTCTGGCTGCCAACTGTGAGTTAAAACTCAAGGCTTGTTGTGAAGCCTAAAAATATTCACAAATAAGCTTTTAAACTGGTGTCTTTGGAAGGAAGGTAGATAAAAAAAGATTGTGGTCAAAACTGGGGTCAGTGCTCTTGGTGCCTTTTCTATAATTGTACTTGTTTTTTAATTACTTCCTTTCACTGCCAACCTCGAATTACTGTACAGTATATGTCTTTCTGCTTGTGATCAGCTTTGACAACAGTGACAGCCCCACTACTAGTAGCCACCTGTACATTTGTAAACTGAACTGACTCAATTTTGTTTTTAAATGTGTGGGTTATGTTGCAGCTGTTGCAGTCCCCCAAATACCTATTATTTTACACAATTTGACCTATAGGAGGACACTGAGTAATTTATGAACACACAATTGCATTCATAAATGGGAACAGAATGTGAAAGCCAGCTCTTTCAGAACATCCTATATTAATATTGAATTTTAGATATGTTTATTCCATTTATTATGGTACAAATAATGATTCTTTGACCAGAGTAATGACCTCAGTGGATTTGCTTTAACCCTCACATTTATTTTTTTAAATGTTTCACATGCTACATTATTAGCTGAGTAAGTTAGGAAATTCCAGAAGATAGAGACTTACATAGAATTAGGAGGGTTCTTATGGAAGGGATAGGAAGTAGGTTCAAAACCGACCACCAGTGTAACCTACCAGTATAACTGTGAATCCTAGGTGAGGTAAAAATGCACTTCCACTGAAACAAAGCATTTCTGACCGCTTTTTCTTGGTTATGAATCTTAATTTTGAATATAAGATGATAGGTAAGCGCAGCTTTCTTGGATAATCTGAATTCCCAAGTGCCAGGAGTAGGATTTCATTATAAAATTAATAGCTAATCTTATTCTATCTCCTGAAGAGTTAATTGCTATTCTTGTTACCCATTCAAAATCAGCTGTACTGTGTGAACGAAATAAAGACAATAACACGAACCCCTCTCTGGCTGCACGGTCGCTTATGGCAGTTCCACACAGTAGTTGGCGCCCAATGGGGGGTCCCTGAGACTTGCATGTAAAACTAGTCTAGATGTCTTCTTTTTTGTAAGTTTTATTTTTGTAATTGTGCATGTAAAGCATCATTGAATCAATGGATCTGTTGAAGAACTCAGCTGCTGGAAACCATGCAAAATGTTTTGAATTGCCCTTAAAATATGGAAAATGTTTTCTGAATGCTTTATATTCTTTCTGCTGTAAATTAAAAATGAAGAAAATTTCCCCATACTATGTGTGTGTTTTGCTTTAACTTGACCTGATATTGAAATCCAAGGTGATGAGCAGGTTTCAAGCTATATAAAATAATTTCAAGTATTTCTTTCTGATCCAGATAGTGTTTTGACATTGAGTGTTAACATTGTTTCAGATAAGTCCTTGAAAGAAAAAATTTCTTAGAGCCACTGTCTCCACCGCACTTGTTTTTCACCTGTCTCCCAGGCACCTCTCAACATGTCAATTATTTGTATAAGGCACTGCAGTTATTTGAAAGATAAAGATATTAATCTAGATGTGCCTTTTCAGTTAAAGCCCTCTGAAGCTTTTTTTTTTTTTTTTTTTTTTTGAGACAAGAGTCTCACTCTGTTGCCCTGGCTAGAGTGAGTGCCGTGGCGTCATCCTAGCTCACAGCAACCTCAAACTCCTGGGCTCCAGCGATCCTCCTGCCTCAGCCTCCCGAGCAGCTGGGACTACAGGCAAGCGCCACCATGCCCGGCTAATTTTTTCTATATATTTTTAGTTGTCCAGCTAATTTCTTTCTGTTTTTAGTAGAGACGGGGTCTCGCTCTCAGGCTGGTCTCGAACTCCTGACCTTGAGCGATCCACCCGCCTCGGCCTCCCAGAGTGCTAGGATTACAGGCGTGAGCCACCGCGCCCGGCCCCTCTTGAAGTTTTTTAAAAGGCATTTTCCAGCAGACTACCACCATCATCCTCCTTTCCGAGTATTCTGTCCATTCCTTTTCACTGCACAGCCTCTCCTTATGTCCCAGACAGTCCCTCTTCTAATCCATCTCAGTGCTACTGACAAAGGGTTTGCATCATGGATCTCCCAACTCCGTGAGTCCTCAATGGTTTCTAGAACCCACTTCCTTTAAATGACTTTTTTTTTCTGCTTGTTTATCCTCACTCATTATTCAGTCTTGTTTTCACTATGGTTGGCCTGTGCACACCACCTCCGTCTCCGTTTCCACTGCTTTGTTCACGGTGTTTGTTCATCTCTATTACTAAACTCAAATCCCACCGCTTCTGTGACACTCTTGTTTATTCTAAAATACACCAACATTTCCCTTTTCAAATTATTCTACTTAGAATTGGAAAAGACAGCTCAGTATTTAAGTACTGTATTTTATTTTTCACTTCTCACCTAATCTGCCAATTATTCTATTAGAGTTTTGTTTTTTTAATGTAGGAGACTATGTTAGTACAAATATTTCAGTAACAAATGCATTACAAAGTAACTCACTGTATTCAGACTTGTGCTTCCCTTCATTCGACAAAAGTTGAGGACCTACTCTGTGCTAGGGCCTGAAAATACAGAAATGAAGAAAATATAGTTCCTAATGTCAAGGTTCCCATAAGCAGATTATAATATCGTCTGTGCAATAACAAATCCTTGTGTCACAAATGAAAATGTGAGGGGGGGAACCTATGTCACCCCAAGCCTGTGACAAGTAACTCAAATGGGCTTCCTTCATTTTAACATTCTTGGAAAAACGTGGTGCCCCCAAGGATCAATAGGCTAATCCGAGACACTAAGAAGCAGCAAATAAACTGTCTCTAATATCGTCACGGCCAGAGAAATGATGCCCACGCTCACTTACCCAAACAGTCTTTTCCCGTGCCTAACGCAACACAACTTCCTGGAGGCCTCGCCCGGGGCCCCACCCACTTCCGGCGCGCCCCGCCCATTCCGCTCGGCCCCGGCGGGTGACGACACTGGCCCCGCGCCGCGCCGTCCCGCCCTGTTCCCTGCCTCGGTCCCCGCTACGCAGCTCTGCGGACTCTCGCAGCCGTCGTCGCCAAAATGTGAGTAACGCGATACGACAGGGGGCGGCTTTAGGCCCCGGAGGCGCCGGCCCAAGCACGGCCCGGCCGTCGCTCGGACGCGGGCCGAGGCCACGCGGGGATCCCGAGGCCTGGGGGTGGGCGGCGGCCCCAGGGTGCGGGCTGCCGACGGGCCGGACGGTGACCGCGGCGCCGCCGTGCGTTCCGGAACGCCCCGCGGCCTTCGGGCGGACGCGGAAGGGGCGAGGGCCTTCCCGGAGGAAGCTAGCTTTCTCCCCTAGCGCTCCCGGCGCCTCGCCGTTTTTCCCCGGGCCCTTGAGGTCCCTAAGAGGAGCGGTGACGACTGCGCTCGTCCCCGGCCGCCCATTCTGGGCCTGGTCCTACGCTGGGCTCCAGAAGTTGCAAGAGGAGGGACCTCGGCCCTGTTGCAAGGCCGCTGCGGGCTCAAGTGCTTGCTCCTTGACCAGCCGGGAGCGGCTGCACTCGGGAAGATAACTTAGCCATGGGCCTTCGCTCTCTTCTCAGCGAAAGCACTCTTGTTGTGGCCTTTGAAACAGGTGTTACCAGTGGTAACACCCAGAGAACGCTAATGGTTGGAATCACAGGACCCTCTCTCTCCCCTCCAACCTGCTCATTGCTCACCCACAGGGAAACCGCGGGTTTCTCCTAGCAGCTTGGGTCGAATGTTCTCGCTGAGGCTGCTGTGCCAGTACATGCCAGTGGTTAAGATCTAGATCCGTGAGATTATACAGGACCTGATCTAAACACCGGCTCCACTACAGCCAACTGTGTTGACTTTCTAAACCTCACTTTACTCATCTATAAAATGGGGGCTAACATTGTTATAGTATCCCCCTCAGAGAGTTATGAGGATTCAATGAGAAAATACATGGAAAGGGCCTAGCATCAGGGCGGTGGTCCTTGTTATCTACCAGACACTAAACTCTATGAGGGCAGCAATCTGATGTGCTGTATCCCTGGTCGTTGACGCATGGTAGTTGTGAAAGGACTCTCTTTTTAATCAATGAATCAGTGTCTGTTGTCCAGCCAGGTACGTGCTAGGTGCTGCCTTGGATACAGAGAAGAGAATTCTAAGGCCCAGGAGCCTGTGGTCTATTAGGGAGGCAAGACTTTATGTACAACTGAAAAAACAAAGTGATACCAAGCAAGCAATGGGGGCAATAAAGACTTCAGGCCAGAGTGGTTAAGATAGATCTGCATGGGGGAAAATAAAGCCTTCGATGAAGATTTTAAAAGGTGAGTACCTTTCTGAAAGAGGGAATATTGCTTCAACTCTTCTTGCCCACTCACACCATCCTCGTCCCTGCATCCCAGTCTTCCTGACTCTGTTTCTATAAATAAATCTGTTTCTACATATTGGAAAAAGGACATTCTATAATTGTTCATAACTGTGAAAACAGTTCTTGCCACAGCGAAAAGATCAGGAGAGTACTGAGTGTGTTAAAGCAGATGTGTGCCTTAAAACAAGTAAAAAAAAAATGGAGAGTAGAGGTCACCTATCTTAGAATCAGGTACTTGAGTGATACAAAGTAGATCCTATGATACCTTCGCTTTAGACCCTGGTCACTTTAACATTGAGACAATCTTGGAAATTGTAGAGGAATTAGAAGAAATGCCATTAGATCCTTTGTTCATTACTTTAGGAAGGATAGCTTTTTTTGTTTTTTTTTTTTGTTGTTTTTTGATTGGGTTTTTTGCTTCAGTTCTGATGTAAGAGATTATTAACACTGAGAGTCCTGGAATAACATCATTATACTTACAAAAATGTATTTGGGATCATACTTTACTCATGCTCCTGCCTTTACATGTTTCAGGTCTGCGGGTGCACTTGCAGATTCAAGTGCTGCCGCTGGCAGTAGTCGAAGACTTCAGCAGACTCAAAATCAAGTAGATGAGGTATTGTTCTGAAATGTTGAAAACGGGAAGTTAAAACAAATACGAGAGCACTATGGAAATAATTCTGTTTAGAAAAAGTACCATAACAGTGTGGATGTGAAGTAAATTTTGACTGTATCTTAATTGTAACAGAAATTTGCTCCCTATTGTTGTGGAAGCCCTGATCTAAAAGCAGAAGTCAGACTCTCCAGGCTTCATGTTTATTTTCCTGTGATGGAATCACATACCTAAAACACAAACACTCCTCCCAGAGACCATTCACCAAGAACCACTTTATAGAATAGGGTAGTAAAAATTTTTAAGTATTAGGTCTCTAGATTGCTCCAGCCAGAACCAATTCTTCTGATCAGACTTTTTATCAAAATGCTTTGTCCTGTAGCCTTACTAGTTACTGGGCCTGAACAAGCCTCTGTAGAATTCATCGCTGACAGTTGCCCATTGACACACAGAAGGCAGGTACTGGCAAACTGTGCTAGCCCAGCAAATCTATGTTTGTAGAATCCTTGAGCTAGAGGATCTTCACAGCATCTTTTATTCTGCTCTGTATATGCAGAACCACAACTGAATATTGAGAAATTCAGACTAGTATTTCTGTATTCCTAAAAGTTGTCTCTGTCCAACAAAAATAATCTTGGTCTTTCTGCATTTACCTGCCCTAAAAAGCAGAGTTTAAAGTTATATTAGGACCAGTCATGGTGGCTCATGCTGAGGTGGGAGAATCATTGAGGCCAGGAGTTTGAGACATGACAAGACCCCATCTCTACAAAAACTAAAAAATTAGCCAGGGGCAGTGGTGCATGCTTGTGGTCCCAGCTACTTAGGAGGCTGAGGCAGGAGGATGGCTTGAGCCTAGGAGTTTGAGACTGCAGTGAGCTGTGATCAGGCCATTGCGCTACAGCCTGGGCAACAGAGCAAGACCTTGTCTCAAAAAAAGGTTATCCACTGTTGTTAAATCACATAATAATGTTTTGATCTGATGGTTTTGTTCATGAACTTAATCCTGAAAATTTTGTATTTTCATAGTTAGAAACTCATTCTAATTCTGTCCTGCCTGAAACTTTTGTTTACTTACAAAATCAAATTGGATTTTTTATTATTAATAACAAAAGTAATTCTCAGGAGAGTTTTTTAACTGAGGTGAGAGTCACATAACATACAATTAACCATTTTAAAGTGTACGATTTGGTGGTATTTAGTATATTCACAATGTTGTACAACCATCACCTCTTTCTAGTTTCAAAACTTTATCATCCCAGGCCGGGCGCGGTGGCTCACGCCTGTAATCCTAGCACTCTGGGAGGCCGAGGCGGGCGGATCGTTCTGAGCTCAGGAGTTCAAGACCAGCTTGAGCAAGAGCGAGACCCCGTCTCTACCAAAAATAGAAAGAAATTAATTGGACAGCTAAAAATATATATAGAAAAAATTAGCCGGGCATGGTGGCGCATGCCTGTAGTCCCAGCTACTTGGGAGGCTGAGACAGTAGGATTGCTTGAGCCCAGGAGTTTGAGGTTGCTGTGAGCTAGGCTGATGCCGCGGCACTCGCCCCAAGCAAGAGAGTGAGACTCTGTCTCAAAAAAAACAACAACAACAAAAAAAACAAACTTTATCATCCCAGAATAACACCGTGTTCCCATTTAGTGATCACTCCCTCTTCCCTGATTCTCCCATTTCCGGGTAACTCGAATCAGCTTTCTGTGTCTATGGATTTGCCTATTCTGGGTATATCATATAAAAGGAATCATACAATATGTGGCCTTCTGTGTCTGGTTTCTTTCACTTAGAATGATGTTTTTGACATTCATCCAAGTTGTAGCATGTATCAGTACCTTGTTTCTTTTATGACTGAGTAATATTCCATTTTCTGTGTATAGGGCAGTTTGTTGATTCACTCATCTGTCAATGATGTTTGAGTTGTTTCACCTTTCAGCTATTACGAATAATGCTGCTATAAACATTCACTTACAAGATTTTGGTTAGACATATGTTTTTATTTCTCTTGAGTTTATCATGGTAATTCTATGTTTAGCTTTTTGAGGAAGTGCCAGATTGTTTTCCATATTTTATGTTCCCACTAGCAATATCCAAGGGTTTCTGTTTCTCCACATCCTTGCCAGCAGTTGTTTTCCTTTTTTTTTATTATAGTCATCCAGCAAGCATGAAGTGGTTATCTCGTGCTTTTGATTTGCATTTCTGTAATGATTAGTGATTTTAAGCATATTTTCGTGTGCTTATTGGCCATTTGTGTATCTTCTTTGAAGAAATGTCTATTCAAGTTCTTTGCCCATTTTTTAATTGGGTTGTTTGTCTTTTTGTTGAATTATAAGAGTTTTGTTTTTTTTTTTTAATGTATTCTGAATAGTAAACCTTTCTTTACCACATATGTGATTTGCAGATATTTTCTCCCATTCCATGGGTTGTCTTTTACATTCTTGATAATATCCTTTGATGCACTAAAGTTTTTAATTTTGGTGAAGTTCGGTTTATCTGTTTTTTTCTTTTATTGCTCTTGCTTTTGGTATCAAATCTAAGAATCTGTGGTGGCCAGATCCAAAGTCATGAAGATTTATCCTTGTTTTCTTCTAAGAGTTGTAGCTGTTACATTTAGGTTATTGATCCATTTTGAGCTAATTTTTCTATAGAGGGTAAGGTAGGGGTCCAACTTCATTGTTTTGCATGTGGCTATTCAGTTGTCTCAGCACAGTTTTTTGAAAAGACTATTCTTTCCCCATTGGAAATGGCACCCTTGTCAAAAATCAATTGGTCATAGATGTTTGGGTTGATTTCCGTACTCTGAATTCTATTCCATCAGTCTGTGTGTCTACATGCCAGTGCCACACTGTCTTGATTATTGTAGCTTTGTAGTGAGTTTTGAAATGGGGACACGTGAGCCCTCTAGCTTTCTTTTTCATTTTGAATATTGTTTTGGCTATTCGGGACCCCTTGCAATTCCATATGAATTTAATGATTGGCCTTTGCCTTTCTGGGAAAAAAAAGCCATCGGAAGTTAGATCGAGATTGCATTGAATCCATACATTGCTTTGGGGAATACTGCCACTCTAGTGATGTTAAGTCTTCCAGTGTATGAACACGAGATGGCTTCCCGTCTAATTAGGTCTTTCATTTCTTTCAGCAATGTTTTGTATGTGCAAGTCTTTCACCTTCTTGGCTAAATTTATTTCTAGGTATTTTATTCTTCTGGATATTTCTGTAAATACAATTGTTTCCTTAATTTCCTTTTCAGATTGTTCATTGCTGGTATATAGAAACACAACTGATTTATGTGTGTTGATCTTGTACCCTACAACTTTGCAGAATTTATTAGCTCTCGAAGTTTTTTTGTGGATTCTTTGAGATTTTTCTGTACAGAGAGAATCATCTACAAGTAGAGATAGGTTTATTCTTCTTTTCCAATTTAGATGACTTTTCTTTTTCTTGACTAATTGCTCTGGCCAGAACTTCCCATACAGTGTTGAGTAGCAGTAGTAAAAGAGAGCATCCTTGTTTTGTTCCTGATCTTAGGGGGAAAGCTTTCAGTCTTTCCCCATCACGATATCAGTCGTGGGTTTTCCCATAAATGCCCTTTATCGTATTAAGGAAGTTCCCTTCTATCCTTAGTTTGCTGAGTGTTTTTGTCATGAAAGGGTGGACTCATAATTTTTTTAATGAAAATTTGGCTCAAATCAACAAAGTGTGGATGTGAAAAAATGTGTCAGTCGATTTTATTTGGAATCTTCATTCTTCCATTCTGTTATGGGTAACTTACTGTGATCACATTCGTTTAGGTGGTGGACATAATGAGAGTTAACGTGGATAAGGTGTTAGAAAGAGACCAGAAGCTCTCCGAGTTAGATGACCGTGCAGATGCACTGCAGGCAGGAGCTTCTCAGTTTGAAACAAGTGCTGCCAAGTTGAAGAGAAAATATTGGTGGAAGAATTGCAAGGTAATTCTGTTTTATTGACCTTTATATGAAGTCCCCATCTCCATTCTTAGAGCTTCAACAGAGTCTACAAATATTGGACTTTCATGAATCTGGGAGGTGGGTTTGATTTCCCACACATGGAAGTTTGGGTTGACTGTAAGTCTGAAACACTGACTGTGTACCCTTTCCTAGGAATCCTCCACGTTCTGTGGCTGATTTAAGAAGCACGTAGAACAGGAATGTCCAAAACCGATCACGGGCATTAGCCCCTCTTGACTCTCCACCCCAGCAGGGTCCTGAACACAGATTGACAGGAGAGGGCTGGAATTGATGGTCAGTTTCCATGTAGTTCTATGAATGGCTCCAAGGTCAGGGGAAAGAAATGCTAGAAAGTCACAGTGTGCTCATCAGAAGAGTAGAAAGCAGCCACACAAGGAACATGGCCCAAAGCAGATTTTATACAGTTAGCAAGTAAATGTGCTGTGATCTGGTCCCGAATGTACCCTGTCCTCTGCCTTGTTTAGAAGTGACACAGTCAGACACAGGGCAAGCTTACTGGCCCTTCCTTATGCGGAAAACTTGGATGCACACACAGATGCGTACCTAGAGATCACAAATCATTTTAACATCTTTTAAAAAGCAGATTAAGTAACCGTCAGGCCCTAACTGAGATCATTAAATTTAGGCTTTAGAAATTATCAATTATTCCAGATTGCAATGCACTTTAATTTTTCTTTCAGTGACTAGAATAACATTATATGATACTCTTCATAAGCACATTATGTCTATTTTTGTACTGTGAAACGGACATATGTTTTGTTACAGATGTGGGCAATAGGGATTAGTGTTCTGATTATCATCATCATCATCATCATCGGTGAGTTAACCTGTTCTAAACTCATTGGAAAAGGCTGCTCCATGTGTCCGCAGATGATTGCATGCACAGGAACTCAGACTAAAGATTCCCTCAGAAATGTCAGTTTGTTCCAGGGGTTTTAATTTTCTTTAGTAAATGTTTTAAGTACTTGAGTTTTGTATGATTGTAAGTCTAAAATTTCTTTTTTTGTTTTTGTTTTTTTGTTACATGGGTGCAGGAACCAAAGGTCTAAAATTTCTGATATAAACTTTAATCCTTTGAGGTTAGAGAAAATTTATTCATTTCCACTGACAGATCCTTTCTCTGTTTTGTTTTTATCATATATTTCCTTTTATGTAGTGTAGTAGTTAAAAGCATGGACTACCTATGGTCCATCCTGGTTCCACTACATCCAGCTGTGGCCTTGGATAAGCAATTTAATATTTCTGGACCTCAGTTTCTTCATTTGTAAAATGGGGATGATAATAGGACCCACCGTGTTGGTTTGTTGTAAGGACAAATTTGGTTAATATATAAAAAGTGCTTAGGATGGTACCGGGCATATAATAATAAAAATAATAGTTATATAAATAAAGTGTGTATATATATGCATATATATTCACATACACAAATACAACTATTATTATATATAATATTAGAGCAAAGTAATGCAGTGTATGGGAACTATTTAGAGAAACATAACCTCCTTTCATTGATAGGCTGATGGTAGTAGTAGATGTTTCCTTTTAACAAGAATGTACAGCTTGTTGGGTCCTTTCTTCTGACTCTGCTCTCCTGCAGCCCTCTATAAAATATAGAGAGCCACTGAAAGGAAATCAGCCAAATCAAATTTCTCTTCACATTTAGACTATAGCATTCAGTGTTCATTCTGGATTTGCGCTGAGAGACTAAACTGCTTTTTTCCCTGCTTTTTTGCATCTCCCCTGCTTGTTAGTGTGGAGTGTCTCTTCATGAAGAACCAGTGAAACTCAAGCCTGCTGTTCAAGAAACCTCTTCAAGACTTTTGACTTAGAACCTGCTATATTATCAAGCTTACCTACTGTTTTATCTAAAATGTTTATTTTTTGTTAGTTAATGTAAAGTTCAATTTCTAGGAAATGTGCCTTTGTTTTTTAATACACACTCCACATTAGAAGTATGGCCAGCCCTATCCACATTTTGCACAGTGCCTTTACAGATTTACATAGGGGCTGATGAAGAGGACTTCTTAAGTTCCAGAGTACTATAATCTAGATGTAATGTTGTCACTAATTAAATGCTGTTGATCCCAGTTAAGGGAATTTGTGCCAAGTTAGTTATCCTTGTCATACTGCATTGTCTTCAGAACCACATTTTAAACCCCTGGGTAATTAGATTTCCAACTTGTGCCTTCCAGAAAGAACACTACTGCCTAACAGAAAGAACACTACTACCTAACGCAAATCTGTGACAGTAATAGGCTGTGCCCTATTTTGATATTTTTCTGATTCCCTTTAAGAGAATCCTCTATGTTTTTGTAAGCACTACTGACTTTTTTGCTATACTTAAAATAAGATGCTGGTAAAGAGTTTCTGCTCTTACATTAGATATGAAGATGTTTATTTTCTTGTTGTTTTGTATCACTTGCTAAAAATACTATTGTAATCAGAAACAATAACCCTTTTAAAAAGTTTTTTAGAGCTATGGCTATGACCAAAGTTTCAATTTTGCCAAAAAGTTAAATACTGATGAAATATCGTTAAGTCTGTTCACAACAGATAAATTCAGAAAAGTGCCAAGTGGAACTGAAGGTGCCTTTCAAAATTAAAATTGTAATATTGTGTGTGTACTTTCTACATCTTGACAGATCTTTCTTGCCTTTCAAATGTTGTAGATGATGCAACTCCCCTTCTGAGTCATCATTTTTCATGAGGGGATAGAGAACGTTTGAGCTAGACTCTGACTGCCTCAGAGCTACAGACAAAGAGTTTTACCCAGCAGTTTGCAGATTATCAGCTGTAGACGCCAACGTGTTTCTAGTAATTATGCGAGCAACGGTTTTGTGCCTTCAAGTAAGATCGTCTGTGAACTTGATCGTTATCTGGCCCAGTCCTCATAGACTATAGCTTTTTGGAATTTGTTTCCTATTTTTACTCATATTCTACGTCCTAAATCAGTCTTGTAAATTATGCTTGCAATTAGGCATTGGTCAGGGGAGGATGACTCTTTTCACAGAGAATAGCTAACCAGAGACATTTTCTTCCTTCAATGTCATAAACTGTCCGCACAGGATGCTGCTTTGGAAATAGGTGTCATCTGAGAGAGTTTGTCTACATGAGACTTTCAGCATCAGGGTATGTGGCGTAAAGATGGGAGCTAAGGTATGAATGAAAACAGGCAAGGAGGCACTGAGGGACAAACACAGACTTGATTGCTCTGTGGCCCACTGTCAGTAGAAAGTTCTAAAATTCTTGTTCCCATGCTATTACAAAGCAGCAACAGCTTAGGTGCACCGGGACACAGGTTCTATTTGTCTAGTCTCTGTTCCCCTGACATCACTGAAATGATGGAATGTTGAAGACGTGCCTTGCAGTATGCCCAGCTGTGAGGAGAAAGCAGCTGTCAGTGTTGGGACATTAGCCCACCCTCAGCACAGGGTCTCTGACCAAGTCTAACTCTGAAACCTTGGTGCTCTCTCCTTGGCCTCAGTGCTCAGTCCCATGTAACCCACTGGCTCCTGCATTAACCCAGGAATACCTCGCTTACATCTGCATTTAGCTGGGAACTTGCCCACTGTAATGACCTGAATAAAATGTTTATAAATATGATTCTGGCCCCTGTGTTTCTTGTAGAGGAATAGTTGTGCCTGGTCCAAGTCCTAAAAATGTCATTCCTTGCTGCTTCCCATACCTCTCCCTTGTAAACGCCCAAACTACATTTCCTCTTCTCCTTTCTCTCTAGTCCCCTTCCCAGGTATTCCATTTTGTAGTACCCAGCACTTCCCCATACTCAAGTGAATAGAAGCAAAACACTCCCTTTGTGAAAAGTGCTTTGCAGTATAGGAGATGAACAGGAAACTGGCTTTCACATGATCACCAAAATGTTCAGGATTTGGCTTTTGAATTTCTTAAATGTATAGTCTTTTGAAAGTGATGTCCAGAGCTGGCCCTGTATATGGTAGACTAGATAGCTGCTGACATGGGATAAGTTTGGATGGGTGAGGAACATCTCCAAACACGTGGCTGTCGTTTTGATTCTGTGTATCTTTTTTCCCCATAAATACACTTCCACTTTTACACTGTGACCCCTAGGAAACAGTATAATATGGGAGGAAGTAGACTTTTATGTTTATAACAGAAAAATCCAAACCCCTTTCCCTAATTACAAGCCCCGTGGTGATACTGCCCTTCCTGACTTTGACTTCTTCTCACCCCGCTCTCCCACCCTCTCTATCTCCAGGCAGAATGTGCTGCCAAAGGACAGCTGTTATCAGCTCAGACACTTGTGTACAAGAGAATTTCCACATCAGGGTATGTTGCTTACAGACCAGTGTTCAGGTATGAATGAAAACAGGCAAGGAAGCAGTGAGGGAGAAACGGACCAGAACTGTTGGTTTCCTTTTCTCAGCAACAAACTTTCTTCTCTTCCGGGCCACTGCAGGTGCTATTCTGTTCTGTTGGGTCCACTTCCCCACCCCTGTGGCAGGCTCCTCTCGTCACTCAGGGTTTAACTTTGCTTTCTCAAGGGCCTTTCCTGGTCACCTGGCTAATGCCACTCTTGCCTCCTCCACCCTATACACCTCTGTCCCAGTCACACTTCATCTCATTAGCTTGTTTCATATTCTACACAGCACATTAGGCTTTCTGAACTTACTTTATGGGGTCGTTTTTATGACTTTCATAAAGTTTAGACTCCTTGGGTGGCACGGACTTGTATCCACCATTCTATCCCCAGGTTTTACTATCATCCCTGCTCAGATATGCACTCAAATATTTGCTGAATGAGTGCAATTTGACAAAACAGCTTTGGAGGCAAGAGATGCAATCTGGACTATCACTTGGAAGAATATGATGTTTATGCAGTACAGAATATGAACAGTCACCCACTTCACTTTTCCCCTCTTCCGTTACATACGATTCCTTTCATTAACTCAACAAATATTGAATATTTCTGATGTATCAGGCAGCACAGAGGGGCGCAGCTCTGCACTGTACCTTTCATTTCCTACAAGGTGAGATAACAATCTCAAATGAGCTTTCAGACAACCGGTTGTTTTTCCTTTTGTGAAAGGGAGTATCTTTTACATACGCTTGTCTTCCTCCAGTTGCCAAATAAATCTGTAATTTTAGGAACAGAGAAGTGTTTAAATACCGCCGTCAAATTCCGTGTCTGAAAATCGAGTTGGATTTAATACAGCCCGGGTCCTCCAAGCCCACTCCTTGGAGGGAGGGCAAGAAGGTTAGGAAAGATGAAAACGACAGGAGCCCAAGTACACGCCCAGAGCACTTCGAGGTCCAGCGCCTTCTTCCGCCTGCCCGCTCCCGCCCAGGGCTCTTCCCCAGTCCCCTTCCCCAGTCTCGGTCAGCCAGAGCCACCTGCTGCCCTCGGAGCACAGGGCCCCTCTCGCCCCCGCCCCGCCTCTCACGTGGAGCTGCGCCCGCCCCGCCCCCAGGGTCCTGCCCCCTCGTGACTGGCAGCTCCGGCACCCCGTCTCTGTGGCTCTGGCTCCAGCGGCCCCTCCCCCGCGCCGCGCACGAGACCGGGCACTCGACTCGCGCGGCTTAGGCCGGTGCCTCCTCAGGGCCGCTCCGCCCCCTGCCCACACGCTGCCTGCCGGGATTGGCCCGGCGCCGTCCTCGGCCCGACCCGCGCGTTATGTAACGTGCTTCGGGGGCCCTCGCTCCCGCCCCGTCGCCTTGGGTTATGTAACTCGGGGCGCCCTGGCTCGGGCCCCGCCCCGGGGCCAATGGGGGCCCGCAGAGCCCGCCGGGCGGCCAATCGCGCGGCCCGGGGCGGGGCGGGGTCACGCGGCGCGTGGGGGCGCGGCGCCGGCGGCCGTCCGGCACGCGGCTGGCCTCGGGACTGAGCGCGGGGCCGAGGGCCGCGGTGGCCGGTGGGTGCGGGGCGTGGGCTGCAGGCCTGGGGACCGGCGCGCGGCCCGGGGCGCCCGGATCCCTGCCCTTCGCTGGGAATCCCCCGGAACGTTGCGCTCCCCAGCTTCCCCCTTGCCCGGGCCCCGTTGGCCGGAGCACGCCGACTTTCCTGAGCTGGCGGGGGCAAAGTTGTGTCCCGGGTGAGGACCCTGCCCAGGGCCGCGCTCCGGGGAGCCGCAGCCAGTCCGGTTTCGGGCGTCGAGTTGTCCGTTTCACTCGTCTCTGGTCCCCTTTGTCTCCTCTCCCCAGGCTGGACTCCCAGGAGCGGAGAAATCTCGGAAGGTTTTATGGAAATGCTGGGGAGAAGAGCCCCTCTGAGATGAACGTAGGCCAGTAATTGCTGGCTTGTGTTGACTGCTCATTCTCTAACGCGATGGCATGGACCAAAATGAGAAATGCGTGTCTATCGCTGATTGCAAAGTGAGAGAGAAGCCAGCCACGGACTGAGGGCTGCCCAGCAGAACATGGACCCCCGTGAAGATCTGGAGATGCCCGGCGGGGAGTCTCCTGACCCCAGGCGACTAGAGGCCGATGAAGAGGCTCTAGGTGGAGAATCGGAGATGTGGCGCCCCAGGTTCCAGCTGCAGAGGAAATACGTGGAGAGCAGCAACAGGTGACACTCTGGCTTCATTTCCACAACCCAGGGTGTTTGTTGTCTTTCACTGGAGCAGGAAAAGGAGGATTTAAGTCTTTTTAGTCTTTTGCTTTCAAGACCAGGGAAAAGTGAACGGGGAAACTCAGGCAACTTAGGATGAAATGATCTGGGACACTGAAGAAAATCACCAAAGAGTACCAGAAGGAGATGAAAAGTGGTTAAAGTTAGCTGAGTTGGGGTTCAAGTGGGAAGAAGAGAAAGAAAGTGGGAAATGTACCAATTTCTTTGCCTTGGGTTCCCTACTCGTAAGAAAAGAGATAGTAAACTTGAGAACTAAATGAATTGATGCACATAGAGCGCTTAGAAAGTTGCCTGGCACGAAGGTGCAGTTTACATTCCATAAATGTTGGCTGTGATTATCATTGCTGTTGTGATTTTAGAATTTTTTACCTTCCAGTGAACAGCAAGATCGAAACAGAGTTTCTGAAGAACTTATAATGGTTGTCCAAGAAATGAAGAAATATTTCCCATCAGAGAGACACAGTAAGCCAAGCACTCTAGATGCCCTCAACTATGCCCTTCGCTGTGTACACAGTGTGCAAGGTAAATGAGCTGGAGAAAAATCCGATCCTGCAAGTGCACTAGTAGTCACAGGCGACAGAGGAGTGGTCAGCGGGGTTTTAGTCACAAAAATACGTTGAGCTTTTTATGGTGCTTTATGTAAGATGAGCAGATCTATGCTGATTCCATTAGTGTCTTAATTTTTCACATTTGAAAGACCAGGAAAACCTTATTTGTGTAATAGTTTAATAACTATGCAATATTTTGCTGATTCGCTGCAAGAGAATAGAATTTGGCATAAGCACATTTTGAAGGCTAGCTTTTTAAAGGAACATTGTCTTCTGTGGATGTTAGGGGGGAAAAATACATAGATACATTTGACAAAATACAATTACCTTTCCCTGTCATACACATACTTTTAAAATGTAGTCATATGATATATCAGGAATTTACCAAATTAAAAATGAACAGTTTTAAACACTTTTTGATTTTTCTTCTCAAAGGATTTCCTAAAGTCATATCCTCTTTAGCACAAACCTGTGTGCTTCATATATGATATGTAGTTCCTTAATGCTGGAGTAATGCTTCTGCCAAAAAAATTGTGTGTGTGTATGTATTTGAAATTTTTTGTTTCAGTAATTTGTTTTAGTACCTTAAATATATCTTGCTCCTTGTCATGTAGAACATGCAGAATTCATACAATTCAGAATCTTCAGTTTGCACAACTATCAGTATTTTAGGTAAAAGCAGAAAATGATCTGGTTTTAGGTAGACACACTGAGGTGTTCTCCTCCTAAAAAATCCAGCTCGAGAGTGATAAAATGATTTCCTAAAGATATTGTTGTCACTGGAATACCTGTTTATTTCCCTGTGTTTCTTAGCAAACAGTGAGTTTTTCCAGATTCTCAGTCAAAGCGGAGCACCTCAGGCAGATGTGACCATGTACAGTCTTGAGGAGCTGGCCACTATTGCTTCAGAACACACTTCCAAAAACACAGTAAGAGTTCATGAATTTTGCCATATCAACCTGGGTGACTTTTCCTAAGGACCTTCTCTAGATGTAGGTTTTTAAAAATAATAACTAAAAATTTCAGAAATCACAATTTGAGGTAAACAACGGAGAAACTTTAGTGAAGAGGCACTGTGTAGTTGCACCTGCCCTTGCCAGAGAAAACGCCTGAAGACAGAAGCGGCGCCTTGTGTGTGCTGTGTGTGTAGTTCACGTACTTCGGTCATGAGGTGCTTCTCTCTCCTTAGCATTCCTGAGTTCTCTTGAATTCAGAGAAAAAAACAACACTGCAGAGTAATTTCCTGCATCTTATTCTAATCTCCGAATTGTTAATTTCTATTTATATCATTCTTAGTTCCAATATCTACTACTTCAAGTTGTAACAACTGGATTTTATAGAACAGGTGAGTTGAGATGCTGTCATTTTTTGTAAAATTTTGGAAGAGACCTTTAGTATATCTTTTTTGAATCTCTTCTTGTTGACAGATTAAGCCTCATGTTTTGTTGATGTGGTAGAGATTACTTATGTTTAGAACTCAACATAAAGATTTTATAATATGGGAACATGAGCTATCCCCAGTATTATAATAGTGCTTATTTAACAGATTGGTGTGTGCATAGTACTATAGTAGGTGCTATGGAGATTTTTTTTTTTAAAGTTTAAGAAAACATTTGTCCTCTAAGATCTTTAAGATAAAGCTAGAGAGGAAAATATGCCATTCATTGCTGGCAAACACAGACAATGCTGATTATACTAAATATGTTATATTTATGTCTAATGGAAGAAATTAGAGCAATGATTCTTACGTAACGAGGTTTGTCAAGGACAGCTTCTTAAAGGAGGTGGGTGAATCTTGAGCTTGGTCTTAAAGCATAGAATCTGTGTTGGTGAAGAGAAAACAGTCCCTCCACGTGTGAGGCACAGTGTGCAAAGCAGAAGGAATCAAGTTTATGTACTATATGTATGTTTACATGTAGTACATTCTGCATAGAATGAGCTGGTATATATTTTCACATAGAAATCAAACCTTCAGAAGGTAAAATGCAGGTTTGGTAATATTTAAGAAGCATGTTGGAGAAAATTTACGTGAGGAATTCTATTGCCTTTGTAGGATGTGCATGTGTGTTTTAAGCTATTGATCATGGTAGAAATCTTGAAGAAATTTACCTTTCAGGAAATACTGATAGTATCTCAATGTTTGCATTTGTTTTAAATGTTTCCATAGGATACCTTTGTGGCAGTGTTTTCATTTCTGTCTGGAAGGTTAGTGCACATTTCTGAACAGGCTACTGTGATCCTGAATTATAAGAAAGATTGCTTGGAGTCCTCTCAGTTTGTTGACCTGCTTGCCCCTCAAGACGTGCGGGTGTTCTACATGCACACTGCCCGAGCTCAGCTTCCCTTTTGGAACAACTGGACCCAAAGAGGTAACAGGACCAGTGTTCAGATCTTTATGCTGCTTCATCAGGATCAGTTTCATTCTTTCAGAGATAGCGCAGAAATCAGTATATTATTTAGACCATGCAAACTATGTAGTTTTTCTCATTCCTTTTTTTAAGAAGTCAGAATACATTTGTTTTCATTTAGTCAAGTTAGTTTCATGGATTATACATCATAAAATGATTTGGTTAGCAGTTTAATGCTGTGTAGTAGTTTAATTGCTATGAAGGCTGTGTTTCCTTTAAGTTAATAAAATTAAATGTTTTCTTTCCCACTTTGACTTCATGATTTCTTTGTATAACAGATTTTACTCAGAGATAAAATTCTGATGGTTAGCTCCCTTTTCCAATTTTTCTTGCCCCTAAAAGTTCATGAATCTCATTACTTTGTTTTTCTTCTGGAATGCTTGTTTTCCTGAACCAGGGATATCTATTCACAGTTTTCGTTATGACTTTCATTTGTATGTGATCTTAATTTTTTTTTTTTTTTTTGAGACAGGGTCTTGCTCTGACACCCTGGGTAGAGTGCAGTGGCATCATCACAGCTCACTGCAACCTCAAACCCCTGGGCTCACGCAATCCTCTTGCCTCAGCCTTCCTAGTAGTGGGGATAACAGGCGTGCACCACCACACCCAGCTAATTTTTTCTATTTTTAGTAGAGACGGGGAGAGTCTCTTGCTCAGGCTGGTCTCGAACTCCTGAGCTTAAGCAATCCTCCCGCCTCGGCCTCCCAGAGTGCTAGGATTACAAGGATGACCCCACTGTGCCTGGCCATTATGTGATCTTAATTTATTATTTCTCTTTAAAGTCACCTTTTATTATTTTATATTCTTTGTGAAGTGTCTCCTGAAAAGCTTTGTATGTATCAGCCTCCTTTTTGATCTCAAGCCCTTTTCTCTAATTCTTCTTAAAAATTTTATGATTTTCTTTTGTTGTGGCAAAATAAAACACATAAAATTTACCATCTTAATCATTTTTAAGTGTATACTTCAGTAGTATGAAGTATATTTATATTGCTGTAAGACATCTCCAGAACTTTTTTATCTTCATATCTGAAACTCTACATATACCTTTTTTGACTTTTCAGTCCAGTACTTGGTCTGATGAAGAATGGTCTTGCATGCTTCTTTTGCCATCTTTTTTGAATATTTTTACATAAGCTCCAGAAAACATGCCTGTCGTCCTTACTTGATTCTGGCTGCCTCATCTCCGTTTCCTGACTTTCAAAAATATTTCATTTCTCTCTCTCTTCCCTAAATACACATTTCAACCTTTAATTGTCCATTTTTTCCCTTTGCTTTCATTAATCATCTATTCGTTCCATTAACATTTACTCAGCAATCACCATGAGCCAAGAACTACTCCAGATGCTGGGATACAGCTATGACTGGGACACATGATACTGTTGGCCACGTCTTTCACATCTCCCCAGGGCTCTTTGCCTCAGTGTCGCCTGTGTCTTTTCAACGTTTTTATCTCTGCTGATTGCTATGATAGTTCCCTTCCATGTAAAATTTAATACGCCCCAAAATTGTTCATTTGGACCTCAGAATTTATTCATGCCATAAAGATAGGATGTGCATCTAGTTGAATCTTCATATTACACTTTTGCTTTATAAATGTTTGAGGATTCAAACTTACCGAGAGCAGTTGGTTAGCTCCAGCCCCTTTCTAGGCTGCGTCCATGTTCCCTCCTTCCGTCCCTTCCTTTAAGCTCATAAAACGTTAAGAGGACATAGGAAGCCGTGTACTCAGCTGTCATCAGCCTTTGGTCCTGCATTAGAACATGTTTCTACTTAACAGTGCCATACAAACCTCTCAGAAGGATCTGACGTCCTTCAGAACATACTTCCAGAAACAAGAAGAATTTACATATTTACAGCCTGGGTGTTGAAATGCATCATGGGCTCACTTCTAGATCTGTCTTAGATCACATGGTCTGGCTTCCAGTGGGACAGGACTTCTAGTGGATGCGGTTGGTGTTTGGGTGCCTGGTGTGATATATAAACGGTGTAAGCATATTTACAGTAGATGCCGTTTTCTGATTTTTCTATGATCCTTTCCTTAGATGTACAAAGACCTGGACTTTTTCAATATTGTGATTCTTTAAGACTCTCATTGTTTAGGCTACCGCCAGTGTATTATTTTTAAACATCTCACAGCTTTTCATGTTTTCTGTAACTGAGGACTTTTCATTCCAGTGAACAAATGCTCAAATGCTATTCATGGAGCTCTAAGCAGAGGAAACACATATACGGTCAGCAAACACTTGGGAGAAGGTTCTGCCCCCTCATTTGCCCCTAAGATAGGCAGATTTAAACGTTTCTGAATTACCACCTCATAAATCAATAAAATTGATCCAAAATCAAAAAAAATTGCAAAAATCAATAAAATGCAAGCCATTGACATGCGGGTTATGAGAAAACATTAATGACACTGTAAATTGGTACAATCTTCTGGAGATTAGTTTACCAATACATGATGAGAGTCATGAAATGTTCATATTATTTAACCTAGGAGCACAACTTTTTGCTTTTTTTTTTTTTTTTTGAGATGGGATCTTGCCCTGTTGCCCAGGCTTGCGTGCAGTGGCATCATCATAGCTCATTGCAGCCTCAAACTCCTGGGCTCAAGCAACCTTCCTGCCTAAGCCTCCCAAGGACTACAGGCCCATGCCTGGCTAAATTTTTGGTTTTTATTTTTCTGTAGAGACAAGGTCTTGCTATGTCACTCAAGCTAGTCTCAAACTCCTGGCCTCCCAAAGTGCTAGGATTACAGGTATGAGACACCACACTTGGCCCACTTTTTGAAATTTATCCAAGAAAAGAATTTAAAGAGAAAAAAATCAAACATATCGACCGGGTGCAGTGGCTTACACTGTAATCCTAGCACTTTGGGAGGCAGAGACATGAGGATCACTTAAGGTCAGGAGTTCGAGACCAGCCTAAGCAAGAGTGAGACCCTGTCTCTACTAAAATTAAAAAATATTAGCCGGGTGTGGTGGTGTGCACCTGTAGTCCCAGCTACTCGGGAGGCTGAGGCAAGAGGATCACTTAAGCCCAGGAGTTTAAGGTTGCCGTGAGATATGTTGAGACCACGGCACTCGAGCAAGGGCAGCAGAGCGAGACTCTGTCCCAAAAAATAAATAAATAAACTTATATAGCTAAAAGGTGAAAATAGTCTAAATTCCCAATTTTTGAGAAATATCCAGACTATTACAGTGTAATAGACTATTACCACCAAAGTAATTGTGCCAAAGGATCATTGCATTGATGTTCAAGACAATGAATATGGGCAGTTATAGGGAGAAACACTACAGGAGGTAATGAGGGAGAGACATGTCTCACTATTTTACCTCAGGGTGATTATTCCAGTGCAAAGCCCTCGGAAAATACTGGAATGTTTCTGGATCTCACAATGAGGGAAGAGAGTTCTATTTTGATTACGAGGACCTCTCTCTTAAAAAAACAAAACGGTGCGTTGTTCGGTAATAGCGCAATGCTGTTTTGCTGAGAAACTGCCAAGGCAGGAGCGACTGACATCTGCCTTTGTTTCCAGCAGCGTCGCAGTACGACTGTGCTCCTGTGAAATCCTTCTTCTGCAGGATCCGGTGAGTACGCCCCGCACTTAGGACGGAGGCCAGAGATGGGGATTGTGCTCTGGTTTCGTTTAGCACTTTTTCTTTTGTATTCAGCTAGGTTCTGTTGCAGGTGCAGAAACTAAGACTTGGCTCTTGCCACAAGGAGTTTATATTTCGATTGAGGAGAAGAAACTCACTCACAAGAAAACTAAATAATAATGCAATAAGAAAAAAAGACCAGAAGGATAATTCTTAACCCTAGCATATAAGAATCACTAGATGTGAAGTATACTTTAGAATGACCATTGTTTGGGCTCTTTTTGTTTGCTTTTTGTTTTTCAGTCACACTTAAAATTAATTTTTGAAATTTTTAATAGCTTTAAGGAAAGCAAGATATTTCTGTTTATTAGAAGGGTTTAAAAGATCCAGAGACTGTGAACTAGAATAAAATAGACCAAAATTTTAACAGTAGTTGATTTCTGGTAGGATTTATGAGTGATTTTTTTTGTCTTCTAAATTTATTATAATTTTAATGTTACTTTCATAATAAAAATGTATTTTTATTTATTTATTTATTTCGAGACAGAGTCTCACTGTGTTGCCCGGGCTAGAGTGCCGTGGCATCATCCTAGCTCACAACAACCTCAAACTCCTGGGCTCAAGTGATCCTTCTGCTTCAGCCTCCCGAGTAGCTGGGACTACAGGCATGCGCCACCATGCCCGGCTAATTTTTTTTTCTATGTATTTTTAGTTGTCCAATAATTTCTTCATGTTTTTAGTAGAGACGGGGTCTCGCTCTTGCTCAGGCTGGTTTCGAACTCCTGTGCTCAAACAATCCACCCGCCTCGGCCTCCCAGAGAGCTAGGATTACAGGCGTGAGCCACCGTGCCCGGCCATAAAAATGTATTTTTAAATGACATTATGATTGCCAATATTAGTATTGAAGTTACGAAACGCTCTAGATACTTAGAGAAGAGAAAAATTCTTGTAATGGATTATTCTGTTACTCGGTGGAATTGGGGGACTTGAGCTAATATTATCTGGATACTTGGGGAGGGATAACCTAAGGAAGTGTTGACAGGGTCATTCTCAAATGAGTTACGAAGATCTTAGAACAATGCGTGTAGTAAGTGCTGTGTGTGTTCTTGTGGTAATAAATGTTTTTGAGTGCTTTCTCTGAGGTAGGCACTGTTAAAGTGCTAGAATCAAAACAAAGGTCTTGTCTCATGTACTTGAAATTCTGGAGGAGACTGGTAATAAACAAATACCCAAATATATATGAGTCAGGTGGCAATAAATTCTGTGTAGACAATAAAACAGAGGAAGAGACTTCTGGGCAGTGGAGAGATTGCTCTTGTATTTAGAGTGATCAAGGAACTCTTCTCTGAAGAAGCCTGATTGGAGCCAGAGATCTGGAGGTGAGGGAGTGAGCCACACTAGCATCTGAGAGCTAGGAAGGATCTGAGAAAGTATGTTCCAGGCAGAGGGAACAGCAAGTGCAAAGGCCCTGGGGTGGAGTGTGCCTGGCCTGTGGGAGGAGCCAGAGCAGAGGAAGGAGCAGATGGGAGAAGATGAGGAAGCAGGGACCAAACCACAGGGAGCTTTGACTTCTGAATGAAATGTTTTATTCAAGTTAATCACTTACTTATTTTCAAAACTTTTTACTTTGGGTATTTTCAAATATAACACAAAAGTATAGAAAACAGTGTAATGAACCAATGTGTTCTTATCAACCAGCTTTACTAACTTTAACCCATGGCCAGTCTGGTGTCATCTGTGCCATGACCAATTAATTCCTTAACTCCCCCTGCCCGAATTATTTTGAAGCAAATCTGAGATCTCACATCCTTTCCTCCATCACTATTTCAGAATGTGATTCTGAAAGATAAAGTTCTCATTAATCTTTGTGATGCTCAAATTGTCCCACCTTTGGCCAGTAGAAATCCCTTTAGGTTGGCTCCTAGGCCCTTGTGAGAATATTCCATGGTCTTTGACAGCTTCCTTTGTTGCAGGCATGGGACATCCCAGGCTCAGTATAGACATTTCTTACCCCAGGCTTGGAGACAGTCATTTCTCTAAGGATCCCTGGTTCCTTGTGGTGGGAAATGGCTTTACTCTTTGGAGACTGAGTCTGGCTGGTAGGGTTGGTTATTGCTGCAGTGTTGCCATTGCTTCTAGGAATGTTCAGTGGAGGGAGGTAAGCAATGTTCATTTTTCAGAAGGGAAACAGTTTCTATTATAAAAGGATCGTGTTGGCTGCTGTGGAGGGCAGGAGGGGAAGCAGAGAGAGCAGCTGGAGGCTGTACCGTGAGCAGGTGAGGGTGGAGGGCCCAGGCCCAGGTGGCAGTGGTGGGGGTAGAAATATTTGGATAGTTTGGATATTTTTTTTAGAGAGAGTTTTCAGAATTTATTAATGGATTCGATTTGGGGTGTGAAATAAAAAGAGAAGTCAAGGGTGGCGCCAGGGCTTTTGGCTGGAGTTACCATTTATAGAGGTGGAGGCAACTGTAGGAAAAGCTCCTTCCTAGAGAGGAGGGGAGGAATGTGGGGCTTAGTTTTAGACACATTACCTTTGAGACACCTATTAGAAATCTGAGCTGAGTCTCTGTATGGGGTCTGGAGTTCAGGGGAGACATCCAGGCTAGAGACGGATGCTTAGGTCATCATATCAATGGCATTTAGAAGCCACGTACTGGATGAGCCTGGAAAATTCATTCATAGAAATAGAGGGAGCAGAAGATGTAAGTACGCATGCTTGTAAGCAGTACTGGGAGAAGGCTCACTTCCAGATGATTCTCTTGTCTCAGCGAGATAAGAAGCGCAGTCAGCAGTTGAGGGTGGAAAAGTAGGAGGAGATACTGGAGTTTGACAAGAGAGTAGAAAAAGCGCAAGAGGGAAGAGGGAGGGAGAATCTCTGGGCAGCACTGAAGATCCGCTTGGCATCAGTGGCCATGAATGTAAATGCGGGTGGGAGAGTAGAGGCATGATTGGTAGAAGTGGGAGAGTGTGAATTCAGTCGGGGACATTTTAACTTCTAGGGGATGGTGGTATCTCCAAGTAGAAACGCCCTCTGGGTAGCCAAAGTGACAGGGCGGAAGTCTTCGCAGTCATCGGTCAGAGCCGCCCCTCCCTAGAGATCCTTCGTGAGAGTTGAAAAGCCGCCCCTCCTGTGCCAGCGCCAGGGCTTGCTGGGCTGGATTTCAGTCCGTACCTGTCCTTCCTCCTCAGCCAGGCACCGTCACGGACAGAGTGCTTGACCGCATGCGGGGGCCCCGCAGCAGCCACGGCGGTCGCTGAAGCTGTGAAACTAAATTAGGTCTTTGCAAGATCTTAGGAAGTGATGACTGAGAAGCGGCTCCGGGGATATGATCGTAGGGGATCCGGTTCTCTGTTTTGTAGCACTTGATGTAGACATGTGACAAGGGACAGTAGGGCTGTTCCCCCTCACAGCAGAAGTGGAAAATCAGACTGGGTGTTCAGGTCATGGAGGTGAGAAGTCATGGAATGACTAATTTGTTTTTACACTCACAGAACCTAAGCTGGTTCTTTAGAAAACCTCTTATTTGTTGAATAATGAATGAGTATAATTGCCCTTGGGTATTGAGAATTTAAGCTAACATTTTCCTTTTTTTGAAAACAAACAGGTTTAAACATTTTAGATTGGATATGTTTCTCTCAGAAATTACCAAAAAAACATTTCTCGCAGCCTCGTTTCACAGTGGGCTAATAGAATGCATCAGGACCAGCACTAATCGTCTTTAATCTCTTCAGTGGAGGAGAAGGCAGAAGAGAGCAAGAGAAATATTACTCCCCATTCCGGATTATTCCCTACTTGATTCATGTACGTGGCTCTGCCCACCCAGAGCCGGAACCTTGCTGTCTCACGCTGGCGGAAAAGATTCACTCTGGTTACGAAGGTAAGTCAGGAGGGTCTGCCTTCAGACGCGTAGAAACGTCAGCAGTCAGAAGGGAGCGTGGGAAAGCCTGTTTGCTGCAGTCGTGAGTGTGAAAGATTGTCTGAGTCTCCAGCTTGGCCCCAGCGCTTTAGGCACTTTGAGCTGTTTTTTCTGACGTCTCTGTTTACTGACCTTGACTTCTTGTGCCATCATCCCCTTCACAGACAGCATGGCCTGATGGTCTCAGCATAGGGCTTGGTGACAGGTACACAGTCTTCTAGTCCTTTCTCTGTTGGTGACCCACTATGTGGCCTTCTGTCTTGGCTCTGTCTTGTGTGAAATAAGAGCACAGAAATTGTTTCACAGAGAGGCCACGAGAATGAATTTATGTTTTTGAAGTGTTTTGAAATTACCTGAGTAAAAAGTATATTTTATGTCTTCTATGAGCAGAACTACATTTCTAAGCTCATATATCGATACACAGGCAGCTTCCATGTATTACTTGAAATTACAGTCAGTTCTGACGTGACATGACGTGGTTTCCTACAGATTAACTGTCCTTTGCAAAAATGGCACAATAAAGACCACGGGGCTTATGGGGAAAATGGGTTCAGGAGCATTATACTCAAAAACTTAATATCGCATTAAAAATAAGACAGGAATCTAACAAAAATGATAACAGTTTCACACGTAAAATAATTAGAAAATACACAAACACTGTGATGATGTAGCTCGTAGCACGGGGTGAACTGGAGTAGCAGGCGTGTGTCTGAGGTGTGTGTTGTTCTGTATTCCCGAGTGGTTCCATTCAGCCGGATGTTGTTCTCTGTGTTCACTTAGGGTTCCTTGTAAATGAAATGGTGCATAAGCAAATGGGTATCGGCATTGTGTGCAAATTGTTCCCTAATATATCCGTCACTGCATTTTCAAAGCAAGTGTTAGAGCAGAACTGACTACCAATTTTATTACACAAAGAACATCCATATAGTACTAAGTAACATCGCATCCTTTTATTCATTTAGTTACATACAGCCACGAAATAGGACTGAACCTTTTAGTTACTCCAGTTTCAACAATTAGATTACTTGTGATGGGAAAAGTAGCTTTTCAGTGTGTACGGACTTTCTCTGTTTAAAATTAACTTTAGTAGGCATCACATTTTGACCTAATCAAAATGTAGGTAGTAATGAGAATTATTATCATTTAACTGTAGATTTGGCTGCTTGAAGGCGAGGCCCCTAAGTGAGATATCTGCCATTTTCATGTAGAGATTTTGTTCCCTTTCTAATATGTTAAGTGGTTAGTTAAGTGGATGATTAATTGGATACTTGTCTTTAGATGTGTCTGTTTTTTTCATAGCTCCTAGAATCCCAGTGGATAAAAGAATTTTTACCACAACACACACCCCAGGGTGTGTTTTTCTTGAAGTAGATGAAAGGTGAGTACTTCTTTAAGCCTAAAAGAAATTTGTTTCTTAAAATAAAATATGAAAAAGCTTACATTATATTTGCATACTTAGACATTATATAACTGAAATCTACCCATTTGCCTATTTGGTTTTTGTTAATTACATTGAAATTTGTGTTGTGTAAATTTCTAATGTAAATATCTTACGTGTCATAAAGTAATTATGAGTAAACATTTTGATTTCACAACAGTATGCTTTAGGCAGGTCAAGAATTATTCCATTTTCCTAGCACTCTGGGAGTCTGAGGCAGGTGGATTGCTTGAGGTCAGGAGTTCAAGACCAGCCTGAGCACGAACAAGACCCCATCTCTACTTAAAAAAAATAGAAAAATTAGCTGGGAACTACTAAAAATAGAAAAAATTAGCCAAACGTGATGGTACTCACCTGTAGTCCCAGCTACTCAGGAGGCTGAGGCAGTAGGATTGCTTGAGCCCAGGAGTTGGAGGTTGCTGTGAGCTAG